CGTTGAGGTGAACTTTGCCCCACTTCTTTTGTCTGGTACGCCTGTGATTGATACTATTATTCGGTTAAGCAATCACAAAGATGCCTTTTTTGTCAAAGCTATAATTACCAGTTCATGTATGAGGTTGGGAAATTTGATATTCCTATCGGATGCACCAAAGTAATGAGATCATCAGCGTTTTGAAGACAATCAGAATACGATCGAAGGATTTTGGAGATGAACTCACTATCTTTTCCCGTACCTGCCAAAGCCGGAGTTCTAACTCGGTCGAAGATAATTTCTCAAAGAGGCGAGAAAGCTCTTTGAGTTCGATACTATTTTTGCCCTCCGGAGTCTCAAAGAACTTTAGCCATGTTAAAACCTCACTGTCTGCGATAAGTCGCCAGCTCTCACCAGCCGCAGATTTTTTGTTTTCCAATCTAAGCGCCTTTACCAGCTCTAGCATCACTGTGGCCGTCAGACCTTGACGTGACCATTGTGATATCTGATCACTACTCGTCAGTTGATCAAAACTCGTACTGGAACCATCATCCGGTGAAAAGTTTTTTTCTCTTTTAGCGGCGAAAGCCAACAGCCTTACACGTTCATTAAATTCCGCATTCAAGATACTTTGAACAGTGAGCTTTACTTCATTGTGAATGTTCTTGTACGTTGCATACGCTTCTTTGGCCCCATTTTCAGAAAAAGAGGGCCACTCCTTTCCTAACTGGATGACTTTGCCTAACTTATATATCTCGTGATAGATGGGATCTTCCTGACTATAACCTAATTTTCCGTCGACAAAAATGTTCCAAGTGTCCCGAGTCCAAACCTGACGCAAGGACGATCGTATAATCTTAGCAACTTTTGTCATACTTGTTGGTCCAACGATTTCTCTGACTTGCGACAATATTTTCTTCTTGATCCTCGGGTTATTCTCATATATCAAATCAAAGTTGTGGAATATTAAATTTTGTTCCAAGCCCGTGATTGATGAAAAGGAAGGTTTCTCTGAGATTGAAATGAAGTTTTTGTAGTTTGTTGCAAGCATGTTGACCGCCGCTGATTGAGATAAATCTTGTAGCCATTCATACTTTTGATCAAAATCCATGTAGTGCTTTGACCTCATCTGTTGTCGCACTTTCAGAACCGCTGCGTGATAAGAGCTAGGAGCCGATTTCATATGTTGAATAGTAAAGAGAGCTTCAAGCGCTTGCGACGAAGTAAAGCTATGCCTAAGTACAAAAATATCCGCTAGCTCCTGTGATGTGAATTGTACAGCCTCGATGCAACCCCGCGAGAATGATTCGTAATATTCACGTTCTTTTAGTGCTAGTATGAATTGAGCATCTTCATGTATCGCTTTTCTGTCAGCTAAATTGAGCCTTTCCAAGATGTCACGTAACCATTGCAGCTCCAGTAAGACAGATTTAGACTTATCCTCTCGCATGATTTTGCGCATCAAATCAACTGTTTTACCAACAAGTCCATCTTTAAAAGACTCCGCTTGGGCAAGCCGCGTTTGATAGAAAGGTTCCTTTAACGGCAGCTGATAGATTGATCTTGAAAAACTAGGCTGCCTGTTATGGATTTCAACTGCTTCGTCGTAAGACCAGTAAGGCCAGTCGTCAACTTTCTTCATATTTTTTTCGAGATAATTATAAGTTTCGAGTGAGGCGGCAGAATCATCGATGTGGAACACCGCTTTGCGGAACCTGTATTTGTCTTCAGCTTTGGCTTGGTCTCGCATCGCTACCACTCGCGCCACAAATTTGGCACGGATCCCAGGGTATAAGTCAGAGACCTCTTCAAGCAAAGCTAGGTGTCTGGAAATGCTTTCCCTATCGTATAACAACGCTGAAAAGCTATCGACCAATGCCTGGGCAATTTCTTCTCCTATTCTGTTATGATTCTCCTTCAAGAACATAAGCCTATTGTCAAAGTTTTTTCCACCCATTATCCGACGATACCAAGCATAGACTTTTTCCTTAATCTCGAGGTCAACGGATGACAGCGCACGGGAGAGCATTTCAAGGTTTTTTAATGGTGTTGACTTGGTCAGTTGTGTTGCTCCTGGGACCGTCTTGAGGGGTAAACTAGGCCATATCGTCCTGAAATCTGGTGTCCATTTCTCCATTGTTTTTAAGAAATCATTAGACCAAATCTGTACAGCTTCGCCCACGACTATAAGTAATTCCTTGTGCTCGGCTTCAACACCGATCTTCTTCCAAGAATTGAGGACTTTTTGATCTTTATACCACTCCTTATCACCGGAATTAATGATATCCTGAAGCTTCACCTCGAGGGTTGCCGGAATGAGACGCTCCAAAGTCGCATCCTCATGAGCTATGTGTGATTTCGAAGTTGCAAACAGTTCTGAAATAGTGGGGCGTCGAGTGCGTTCAGAAGCATAGCTGTGAAGACCGACACAAAGGTGGTCATTCATAGCATTGAAATGCTCGGAAGGGTCCGGGAAATTAGTTGTAGGATGCCAATCCAGGATCGCTATAAATCAAGAAGATGGTCCAAGATCATTACGAGATGTTCCCTTGGATCTCTAGAGGGGATCGTCAGATACTCACCTTGCGATGCAGGGGCGCTTCCCACACTACTCGGGGACGATGTAGAACGACTTTGAGTTATATGCGGATTTTTATCCGAAAATTGCGTTCCTTTCAAAGTCAATCTTTCAAGACTTTCCACCGTTCCTGGAAGTTCAGCAACATTTGAAGACAATTCACGTTTGTATTTCTTCCCCCGTAAGGGGGTGTTGACAAGTGATCGCGAGATTGACTTGGGGGAAGCATACGTCGTCAACAAATTTGAATCGGCGGTATAAATGAAAGCCAGGAGGCATGAATGGATAAAACTTAGATAAGTTGAACGCATATTTTCAGATTGATGAGGCGAAGGTTGAGCAGGAGGTGATGAGCACTCTGCGACCTCTTATTATATAAATGGCTGTGGGCATTGTATGGAGTTGATCTCTGGTACTTGTCTTGAGACCTGTAGGCTGTACCACACTGCTCCCAAAACCCTCGGGATTCAAGAGGTCGTTTTATGATAGGAGCCTTATTCGTGTGTCAATTCGGGCTACCAGCACCCATGATGGGATGTTTGAGATATACCACCCTAATCTTCCCAACTAGTGATACGTCATATTCATGGGGTATTTAGCCGCGCAGGTCGGTCAAGCCTCAAGGTTCTGCGTATATTCCGGCTTTCCTTGACCAAGGATCACTCAAGGTATTTGATCAAGTGTATGATAAAAGGTAAAGATAAGATCTTGTATACAAACACAAGGGCAACCTGGGAAAAACGGGAGCGTCGTGAGAATCAGGATCGAGAAATTCTGACGACCACGACCGTAAGTGAAACTTACCCGTCAGATATGAAAAGATCAGTCGAAAAGAACAACAAGATTATAAGATTCCAATAAAAAGAGAAAAGCAAAAATGAAGGTCAGACTACAAAAAACATGGAGATAACTGGATGAAAAATGACATGTTGTATACAGATTTCTTTCCGATGAGGAAAAGAAATTTGACACCCAGGTTTACATCAAAACAATCATTCAGCACACACACTCAAAACACGAATGAAAAGAAGAAAAATCCATCTTATTTCTTGACATTCAAAACCAACAACACAATCAATCAGCATACTTAAGTTCCCAGTACATTCCTTCATTGAGGAAATAACACCATATTCGTTCAAAATATGATATAACACGATCTATCAGGAATGAAAATGAAGACGAGCTGACTTGCAAGACAGAGAAAGATAAGTAGGTCAAAGAAAACCGAAAAACACTCCAGCGCAAAGCCTTGAAAAAACCAAATATTGTCACATCTTGTGAGACTAAATATGCTCAAAGAAATTGCATTTGCCAAGATTATCTGTTCTGCATCTATATGCACAAAAACCGGCTGCACACTTCACGGCATTCCGGGATCGTAAATAGTTATGAGCTTCGAAACAGATGCAAGAAACTACGAGGTTCATCAGATGTGGGCAGGATTCCTAAGACACCTGTGGGATCTAGATGGACTAGTCCCTGGCCATCGGGTGCTGTGATTAAAGGAAATTTTCGAAACAGGAAGATGTAGGAATGATGGGGGTGTAGCCATTGTTGATTGATTTTGTCCGATTTTGGTTGCAGCAGCTAGAAGGAAGGTATCCCTTGATTATGTTCTTCACAAAAAGTGCTTCGGTTAAGCTTTCCTTGCCAATGTACTGGATAGATGGTTCACCATTATTGATTTCCGACACCGCATAATTCGAACTGTGGTTTAAAAGTTTCTACCGCTAGGAAGCTCTTGCGGGCAGCTTGCTTGAACTGTGAACATAAAAGGATGATATAGGTGACGAAGATGCACCACGTTGAATATTCAAAGATGGTGCGGTTTAATCAGCTGTGTCCTGAAATTTTAAATTTTCAGCAAAAGACTTCAGAAATTTCACACGGCTCGTTGGCAGATTCCCTGACATTCAAAGCAAATTGGGACTGTCACGTAATGCCAAGGGCATTCAGCTGAGGTGTCATTTGTTTTTCGTTGGATGTCACATTTTCCACGTGTCATTGTTTGGCCACCGCAAGCGATAGAGCAGTTGGCAGCAAACCACCGATCTGATTTCTGTCCAAAGTCAAGGTCCCCTCATCCCTCAGTCACAGTGGTTTCTCAACATCACACGGAGCATTCCAACCTGCAACTCTATACATCATGCCTCAATTCACTATGAAAGACAGTAAAACACCCTCGAATGGAACGACTTTAATGGCGTGCAATACGGGCAAGCATGTAGCTCGAAGCCCAATTCGACACACCCAGCCCTCTCAGCATCTGCGAGAGTCGTCAGCGTGCTACTCACTTCAAAAAAATCTCAAGAATCTTGATCGGTCCATAGCCTCGTCTCACTCATCTCAACCTTCTATACGCCTTGACTGCCGGAGAGGTTTTTCGAGCAGGCTTCCCAACGTTTTCTTTGGCTGGCTATCCATCCTCATTCTCTCTTCGGTCTTATTGTTACAAGTTGATGCGTCGGCGCTTACAACTAACGTCGCCATTGGTGAACGACTTTGCTTCTATGCTTGGGTGGACAAATTACATGAGAAAGTCAGCCGAATTCAGATCGTTGATCGCCTACACGTCATGTTCCTCTGCTATATCCTGATTACCAAGTGATGTAGGGCTAACTAGAAATTGGGTGATTCTATCTTACTCTAGGTCGGCTTTTACTTCGCGGTTCAATCGGGTGGAGCGTTCGATATTGACTGGACCATCACTGACCCACATGATATGATTGTGATTGAGGGTGAGAAGGAAAGGCAAGGGGATTATATCTTTACCGCCAATGCTGTTGGAGAGTACTCTTTCTGTTTCCACAATGATATGTCGTCGTTCAGTGAAAAGTTTGTCGATTTTGACATCATGGTCGAAAACGAGCCGAGACCTGTGGCACCTGCCAAGCCTACGAGTATCACGGAACAAACTAGCAGCCTTGAGGACAGTATCTACAAGCTTAGTGGTAGTCTCAGTAACATCCAGCGTACACAAAAATACTTCAGGTAATTTGAAATGATGTTTCACTCGTAGCTTGTGATCACTTGGACGCCCTTTCGAACGAGTTGCTTACTTCAACTGTTTTCATTTTTGTCACTGACAGAACTCGTGAAAATAGGAACGTCTCGACAGTTAAAGATACTCGGGATCGAATTGTGAGTGATCGGCTTTGGGCCTTGTTATGATCACATCTATCGACAAGTTTTGTTCTTCTCTTACTCTGCCTATCCCCGCCCAGTTTTATGTGAATATTGGTACCAGTCTGTTGTTGATCGGAATGTCATTCACGCAAGTATTCATTGTGCGGAAATTGTGCGTCTTTCTTTTTCTTGGCGCACTGGTCAGATCTTTTCTCTGTTATGAGCAGAAGGTTGACTAATTGTCTTTCTTGCATTCTGGGATCAACAGTTTCAATTCCCCGGGAAAGTACGTTCGAGTGTAATGAAAAAAAGAAATGAAACTATTATGCAAAATGTATATGTACCTCAGAGGGAGAAGATGCAAGAAATTCCAAGTTTGAGTCATGAAATCTTACGTTCATCCATTGCTCATTGCTGTGGTATGTCAGCCAATGTAAGAGCCAAAGCAAGAGGTATAGATCATACCTACGTAAGTTTGTCCTTGCACCACAGAGGACGTCACATTCATGAGGGCAAAATTCAGACCGAATATGTAGCTGTAGGGAATCTTACAATCAGCAGACTGATAAGTTGATGCCAATGAATCTAACTAAGAATCATGGTTTGCTAATCAGGAGGGGATGGTAGACTAATAGGGGGTTTCAAGTTGCAGATTTTTACGTATTTTTACGCTACAACAACTTGCCCGTTGTTGTAAAATATGCGTAAATTTTTTAAAGCGGGACACCTAAAAAGGTGTCCCGCTTTTAAAAATACGTTGGTTTTACGCAGAATTTTTTTTACGGACAACTTGTCCGAATTTATAAATTTTACGCAAAAAACAAACAAACTTGAAACCCCCTAATATCACTACGAATGGCCGAGTTTCAAGAGCCTACATGACATGTAACAATATGAGTAAGCAAATACGTAAGAAGCTACAAGTTGTGGACCAATGAGCTCTTGTCATACAAACAGTGCAATATATTTGAGATCCTGGTATATCCCTATTGTAGTCTTTGCAATACCCTACAGGATATGTCAGCTATGAAGCCTCAAGAATTCTTGCTATCTTGATCAGAACTAGGGATAGGTAATCAGACTACACCACACCCCTATTATTACTTCAAGACAGGACAAAGAGTGTAATAGGTGCAGGTCACTTGTGATTTGCTGATTGGAATATTGGGAATGCCAGGTACTTTGGAAAAATGTTGGAATTGTTGGGTTGGGTTGGATGATCATCTTAACTTGGGCTAAATGACATCATTCTGTTTTACTGTTCCTTTTCAAACATCATATTTTCTCTTTACCAATTTTTATGCTCTTTATATTTCCAATTCAGTTATCATCATCAATTGACCTTATCATCCAAGTTTTAAACCCCTCCATCTCCATCCTAGTTTCAGTTGCCAAGGCTATTGGCTAATTGTTTTTACTTAATTTTTGCCATGTTCATAAGATGGTTACTTAACTATTATATTTCTCACAAAAAAATAGTTATGTAAAAAACAAGTTTTGAGGTCATTTTTTCTATTGTTGTTCTACAAGATTATTACTGAAAGAAGTTATGTTTTACATGTTTAGTGTTCCTTGTATGGGTGTCTATTTAGGCTACGTTTGGCCAGGATCAGTTGATTTAATGTATGTACCTGAAAATTGAGTGCATTTTGTTGCCATAAAATGTGTTAATTCAAATTTTCTCTTTTTTTGAATTTTTTTAATTAATGTACCTTATAATTCAACTCACATTTGACAAAATTTGATCAGATTTGATCAAATTTAATCATCATAATCTCTGTTGACCGCCATCTTGAGCTTAACACCTTCATCCCAAAACCATGTCAGACTCTGACTTTTTGTCCGGCAAAGATCAATGGACCTCCTTGTCCTCGTCATTGTCAGCTTTATCAGACAGCAATGAAGAATTAATGGAGCTCCTCATCAGTGCTGCTTGAGACCATATTGAACTAGCAAATCACTCAAAAGTTCTGTGTCAGATGTCTGCACTTATAGGTGCTATGTATGCGTGTGAGGTTTATGATGGAAGTCCAGTCCTCTTCTGAGAATTATGTCAAATGAACAAAGCAGCCACCGTGTCAATATTTGTGTAGTGCTTTGACGTGCACACACGGAGAGTTTTGAAACAAATATCAAAGTCTTTTGGTTGGATTTCAACTGAGATTGTTGTTGAGCACCCTTTGTGAATAGTGGTTTATTCATAGGATTTGCGGAATCCTTTGTCATCAGCTGGGGTCAACTGACTTTCAACATCCCAGTTGATAAGGGCAAGATGCACCTGTTGTGGCACCTCTTTGATGGGTCTTTACAGGGTCTAAGAAAAGTCTTTTGCATGTGCACGTCCACGTGCTACACAAATATTTACATGGTGAGCTTTCAATGGCCTATTGAGACATCTCAAAGGACAGCTTGAGGATACAAAACATGTCACTGTCATGGAACAAGTGATGATCTTTCTTTTTGTTGTTGGAAACATTGGCTCAAACGCTCTCACCTCAGAGAGGTTTCAACATTCTGGAGAAACAATTTCCCAATATTACCAACAGGTCCTCTTGGCTCTTGAGAATCTAGAATCTTTATTGATCATCCAGCCCAAATCTGGCGAGCTCCAACCCCACAAGT